GAGACATTCCCTGAAAATTTTAGCTTCCCAGCTTTACTAATCCCCGAGTTAGGCATTTTCTCGCCGAAAAATCTCACGGGGCCATACGTGAGAACCGCGCATGCCTGAGGGATGAATTTGATGAATTTAAGTCGTACACGGGCTGGGAACATTCCCTGAAAATTTCAGCTTCCCAGCTTCGCTAGTTCCGAGTTAGCCATTTCCCCGCCGAAAAATCTCACGGGGTCGTACGCGGTAACCACGTGCACCTGCGTGCTGAATTTGAAATCTTTGAGTTGTATTTGGATGGGTAACATACCCTCAAAATTTCAGCTTCCTGTCTTTTCTCGTTCCCGAGTTATCAATTTTCCCGCCAAAACTTTCCCCCTCTCGTACGCGTGGCCCAGACGTGCATGAGGGATAGTACTGCGGTTCTGGGGTGGTACTTGGCCGGGGTACCCACTAGCAAAATCTCGGCGCTGGAATTTGCTTGGTTGCCGAATTGAAATGCCCGGACAGACGAACATACACACACACAAACATACACATACATACACACATACATTGCACACACAGACGGGGTCGTCTCAATATGCGTTTTTGCAATTTGCATGTAGGCAAAAACGCATAAAAATGCATAAAATTGTACTAAAGAAAGTTGGATAAACAGGAATGTTTTGGTCCTATTCGGCGCCACAACTGGAACTCATCAGTGGAACTTCGGATGGGCGCATGTTTGCTTGCAAGGGCAGCGTTTCCTCACATCTTGCTGCTTGGCGCTATTTGCTGGCGGTTTAATCAAGTTTGCTCTGTGCCATAGGCATCTCAGCAAAACCGGCTTGAGCACCTTGCTGGCAAACAAGTACGAGGTGTTCACTTTTCGCGTCGATGTGCCGGGAGGTACGAGGTGTTCACTTTTCATCAGATTCGCTCAGGTTCACTGTGTAGCTTACAACTGGGACTTTGTGCAAATTGCATCGGTCAGTTTTGATTGTACTGTTTTGCAGGCGCAGCAGGTCTGGATGTCGATATGGAGGATGCGAACAAGGTGGTATCTGCACTCGCCGACAAATCCCTTGATGAGGTGAGGTCCAGTAGCACTACGAATTAAACGGTTTAATCGAATTCAACCTATTTATGCAAGTTCAGGGTGAGGCGGCCTTTCCTGCCTTTCCCTGTACCA